CAACGGCTTAACTATTTGAGATAAGACTTGGTCCTCCAGTTAGCTTTTTTAGTTGATTTTGTCCTGGAATATATACAAGTTATTGGTGGCAGCTACAGCAATAATGTTCTCCACGGGGTGCCAGGCTGTGTGAAGGATCTTCTTGTTGAAGTCTAGACTGTCCACACTAATCTCATCTTTCTTCCTTTTACCACCTGTACATACTTTCCGGGGTTTTAAGCTGGCTCGGGGTTTGCTGTTCTCTCTTGAAGCTTCCAGTGTAACATCCCGCCGAGTGTTTCTATCAAACATTCTAAAGAAGTTGTTGTAGGACCCCGTCATGATAGCACTGTCTGAACCATTCCAACAGCACTCAAACTTGTCAAAGATGCAGTCATTCTCATACAGGGAACAGAGCTTGCTTCGCAGGTACTCATGCACCTGGTGGGTCTCCACAGGCCTGTTCTCCATGTTGAGGTCCCAAACCTTCACAGACAGGTAGTCCCTGGTCATCATGTATCGAGCGCTATGGCTGAATTTGACATCAGAGATAGATGAAATTATTTCTGAGAAAAAGGATCTACTGCTGGGATCTTCAGGCTCTTCAAAAAACTTAGAGTGTCTGTCACACAGGGCAGAGGAACGCATGTCACATAGCCGGATGGTCCCTTTGCTGCTGCTGTAGACAAACACATTGCACTGGTGTGGGTGGAACTCGGCAGCGGTGATGAATTCCATCAGCTCTTCCATGTTAGCAGGCTTGATATCCACAATGTTAAAGCTTCTATCTGTGATTTCTAAATGCCATAGGTTTATTCTCAGGTCATCTGCAGAAAGATACGTTTCATGATCACTATTTACTGAAATGGAACTTATATGATACATGTGAGCATTTGCAAAAATTCGCCGCGGACTTGCTTCTACCATAAGGTCCATGGGCTTCAATATAGGGACCTGTAGTGCTGTAATTCTAAAAGGATCTCGAAGTCGTCCATCTTCATCTTTTAAGTTATAACCTTCTGCTCTTTTATCCCGTTCACTTATTTTCCATAATTTAATAGTTTTATCATTTGTAGAGAGTAGAAAATGAGCAGCATTCTGTTGTGGCAACCACCTAATTTTATTAATTTTCTCTTCAATTTCTAGACTTTTCAAATAG